TTAAATAAGCTACTTTTTGAAATTTCCCATATGTAACTAATACTTAATAAATTATAGTTTATAAAAATAATTCATGGCTGGGCGTGGTGGTGCACATCTTTAATCCCAGCACTTGGGAAGCAGAGATGGGCATATCTTTGTGAGATTGAGGCCAACCTGGTCTAACATAGGGAGTTCCAAGCCAGCTGGGGCTACAGGGAGACCCTGTCTCCAAAACAAAACAAAACAAGTGACTCACAATATAGCCAGTTTATAAAACGTTCTCTCATTGCACCCTGTGTTCTCATCTCTAACAAGGCAGGCTGGCTTCAATCATGTGTGAGGTACCCTTAGCCTCTAAAGTTGAGTGATTCTCAGCTCTTAAGGACATTCAGAAAATTAGAAAAGGCCAGAACAAGGAGGGAGGAATTGCAATGGGGAAAACTGAAGCCTCAGCGCCATCTAGCCCGCTGTTCACTAGTCCTCTGGTCCTCTGCGTGTGCATCTCTACCAGCTTGAGCATCTTCCTCTTTTTATTTTTTTAAAGTATAATTACCAGAGCTTATGTTTCACAGTTAATGCTGTCAAGCCTTTTAAACTAATTGGTCTTTTATAGAAAATTTAACTGAAAATTAACACATCTTTTAATAACATTGCCTTAACTTTTATGGCACTCTGCCTTTCGTCTATAATTGCTCTAAAATTGTCATTTTCCATGTCATAGCTGCCATTTTTATATTTGCTAGTTTTCATGGTGTGGACTTTTATTTTTAGTATTTTTCTCTTGTGAGGAGTGAGAATGGCTTCAATTTTTTTCCTATCCTGGATCTGCCTAGCCTGATGCGACAGTAGGGGTAGGTTCTTGGGTCCAGCCAAACATCCCACTGTTTGCTGCTCAGACACAACACTGCTGTCAGCCCATCTGCCTGGGCCGGGCCTGTGAACTGCCTGTCTCCTTGTGAGCAGAAGAAATGGGGCCTCTTGAGTGGAGTATCTATAGGGAATGGGTCATGATCAGTAAATTGTTTGTGTCTCTGGAATTACAAGGCACTGGCTTAGCCTGGGCTGAGAGAAAGCTCAGCCTTCTCCATGGAGAATTTAGGCGTTTAGTATGTGCCCAATAGAAGTACTGATGAAGGACAAAAATGGAAATAAGTTGATAGAGAGCTGGTCATGTGCTAAGTATTTTACGGAATCATTGACTTGTGGATGACCCTATGATAAAAATGAGGCCTAGAGAGTCAAGTTCCATAGATAGTAAACCTGGTATCAGAATCTGCATCTAAGCAGTGTGGCTCTTTAGCCAATGTCAGATCTTAGTTCAAGGTGTCCAGGTGGAAGTTAAGTAGGGGCTGGGGTTAGGAAGAAGTGGTACCTGGGAAAAAAGAAATCTGAATGATCACATGCAGTTTCAGAGACAGATTTCCTTTCATCTCCTCTCTCTCTCTCTCTCTCTCTCTCTCTCTCTCTCTCTCTGTGTGTGTATCTTTCTGAAAAACATACCTCTCAGTTGTGTTCCTCCTTCTGGAAGCATATATGCATTAGGATAATTATTCCCTTCAATTACTTCTGTGGGTTACTGTTGTTGATTTGTATAATGAAGCCACAAGGCCAGGTCTGTAACATCCCTGTCTGTTCCAGGAAGGCCCATAATGAATCAAAACATTATTATTTTAACAAATGAATCAGTGGGCAGCAGGAATTGAGTTATGAAGGACAATGTTCAGGGAACGCTGAGACACATGATTAAATGGCAATTTGGGGAGCAATGTTAAAAAAGGGGGGGGTCAGTGACATACAGAGAGAGTTGTGCAAACACTTTAATGACTTTTGCAAAGAGATGCCTGAGGTAGAAGCTTGCCTGTGCTCCTGCTACTTGGAGAAGTCTAACCTTCTCAATGTATATCCCTTTTAGTTCTTTCTAGTTACTGCCTGTCTATTTGACTGATCTACATTTATTTCCCACAAGTTAAAGTTGGAGTGGATTACAATGAAATCACAGATAATACTTTGTCAAAAGATCTGGATCCAACTGGGTCTACTGAACCAGCTCTTACACTGGAACGTTTTCATGCTAAGCGGTAAGAACAAGGTCTGGAATAATTGGTGAGGATTTTGGCTGATGATCTGAAAAGTCTCTACGAGTGGACCTGTTAATATGCCTTGCTTCAAGACTTGAATCTAGTTCACTCACAAGATTGTCTGAAAGATCAGTTCATACAGCTGAAGTGCTTTGCATAGTTCTGGGCCCTCAATAAATAATGATATTGCTGATAATTACAAGATCAGGCACTGGGTTCCTGGTTCCCTTTTCCCCAGGGAGGCACGCAGAAGAAACGCTGTTCTCATGCACCTGCATCCACACAGCCCTAGCCATCCTCTCCCAAATGCTTGACTTTGCATATCAAAGAATATTGAAGATGGCTTTTAAAAATTATTATTAGAAATAAGTTCATACCACTTTCTCATCTGAGCTTCTGAGAACTGACTCCCTAGCTACACCATCAATTAGCTTTGATATTCCTTCTTAGATCAACATGTCCTGTCTCCACACCACCACGTGTCCCTTTGACTATATAAAAGTTCTTTACTGGGGGCTGGAGAGATGACTCAGTGGTTAAAAACACTGACTGTTCTTCCAGAAGACCTGGGTTCGAATCCCAGCACCCAAGTGGTAGCTAACAACTATCCGTAACTCCAGTTCCAGGGGATCCGACAGCCTCTTCCGTCCTCCACGGACATTGCACAACATGGGTGCACTTACTTACATGCAGGCATAACACTCATATACATAAAATAAAAATAATAAATAGAATGTTCTTTAAAAGGTTCTTTACTGCTTAACTCAATCGCATTGCTGCCTTCATAGCTGTCTGGCCTCTGCAGTTGTGTAATGGTATGTACTCACCATTTTGAAATTCTCAATAATTTGTGAAAGAGCAGCCTTAGAAGTTATATAGCTGGTCCCATATGTAGCACATTGAATGTCTGATATGCTCAAACGTACATGTCCTAATTTGGAGTTTTCAAAAATTCTAACAACCAGGCATGGTGGCACAGGCCTGTAATCCCAGCACTCGCACTTGGGAGGCAAAGTCAGGTGTATCTGTGAGATTCAGGCTCACCTGGTTTATGTAGCAAGTTCCAGGCCAGCTGGGGCTATAGGGAGAATATGTCACACCCAAAAGCTCAATAATAACAGCAAAAATTTCTAACAGTATTTTGTAGTTCTGGAAAGAAAAATACTATAAACAGCTTAATTATTTTTTAGCAAGTGCAGTTTTCATAAGTTTCTGGAATTAGGGTTAGAAGTAAGTGACATCTCTCAGGCAATACGGATGAAACCTGCTACAGAGAAGCTGGTGTTCTAGGGAACACACCATGCTGCCACAAGTGCTCCTTCCAGCCTGTTCAGGAATTTGTGTAAAGTGAGCCAGCATCACCGCCAGGTCCAAAGTCAGTCACAGTGTCACTGGTCAGAGTACGAGATGCAGGAAACCTGGAGCAACCCCTCTCTAGGGCCCCCTCATCCTCCTTATTGGCTCAGGAAGCAGTGGAACATCAAGAACTCTGTTCAGATAAAGTTATTTCGTAATTATTTAAAATCTATATCTCTGATATTTCACTAAGATATGCTTATATTTGGGCTACCTTCAGGAATATGGAATAACTAATGATAAATTAGTCTTTTTAAAGCTCTATGTTTTTTTTCTTTCCTCAAATAATAGTCCTTCTGGGATTAATTTTAATGAATAGATGAGAATAATGCATAATTATTATAGCAGTTGTTTAACACATTCAAGAGAATAACCTTCTTCAGCGGTTTAAGGAATGTATGTGTGTAAAACCCTCTGAGTTACGTTTATGGTTTTGTTGTGCTCAATAAAACTCTGCACCATGGATTCTCCAAAGGTCAGTTTCTATCCAGCCTATGTCTGCGCTTTCACAAACTGTGGATCTGAGAACTCTGAAATGAAGGGGTTCTTCCACCTAGGAAATAAAGACACTCCTTGGGAGTGATTCCTAGTGCCCAGGCGCATCTAAATGTCTGCTGTTGCCTTCTGCAGTGAATGATGGCTCCATTGTACTGGACGCCCACCCTTTTCATTGTTATTTGTTTGGGGTTGTGCAAATGGGAAACCAAACGCCTTGACCATTTGATATACATCCAGCTATTTTAAAAAAAATTCTTTAGCTCTCTCCATCCGACCACTTTCTGTCTGCCAACATTTTGCTGCTGTCTTCTACAAAGAAGGGGCCTGGGCCTTGCCCGGTGCCTAGTCCTTATCCAAGGACTGCTCTCTCATTAACAGGCAGGAACTTAGGAGTCACCCATGGCACAATGTCCTCAAGTTTAGTCTATTCCCAAATCTCACCAATGAGTACTCAAATCCATCTACCTCCCTGCATCTCTGTATCGATATTAACCTTGTTTAAGCTCCCAGAATTGCTTACTGAGAGACTTCCCCCGTCAGCCTATCTGTCCAAGCCCCTCTACCCAGCAGCCAAGGCAATCCCTTTCAGACATGAACTTGACTACATACTTTTCAGTCTTAACACACTCCTCCTGGTTGCTCTTGAGAAAAAGACCCTAACCATGAAAATGGTTTTCAAGGTCCTCCCCGTGCCTTCTGTGTGATCAAGCACGCTGTGTCTTCCTTGAGTTAGGACCCACCCTCCTACCACACTGAACCTTACTTAGTATTGCTTCTCCTTTGGGGAATCTTTATCCCTATAAAATCTCTTCTCTTCACATCTCACATCTTGGTATAAAACACATATTTTTTTAGAGAAGTTTTCTCTGATCAGGCTGTAACCTTCCCTGTCTTCATTGTACTTTGAAGAGTTTATAAACAAATATTTACTTGGGTAATTATATATTGGTATCCCCTCTAGACTACAAAGTTCAGGAACTTCTGCTCTTTGCTTTGCATGGCTCAAGCTGCAATCAGTGTCTCCTACCCTGGAGATGAGTGTATGTTCAACCCCTCAAATAGAAAGAAAGAAACTAGACAACTCACCGCACTCATGAGCGAGTCCAGGACGCTGACGGCAAAAGCTGTCCCACACGCAAAGGGTTGCGTGAGGTACAGCTCTGTGTCGGGGTCATCGTCATCATCTTGGTCCAAAAACTGAACATTAGTGTCATTCACTGGAAAAAGCATAAATTAAAAATGAGCCACCAAAGACGACACATGGGTTAGCAAAACCAGAGAGATACCAGGTGATGGGCTTAGAGACGCTGAAGTCACTGCAGAGGAAACAAAAGCATGGGGAAGCTCTTGATGGGTCTTAGGTTTGGTGTGCGGTGGGACTCAACGGACTGCTCCTATTACACTGTTTAAACTTTCAAGACCTGGAGAGTAATGAGGTCAAGCCAAGCTTGCTCCATGGCAGACTGCTGGAGGACTGATAAGTACACACACAGGGACTGAGCAGTCTTTGATACTGTTTTAGAATCATGACCGAAAAACACCCTAGAGCATTTTTTGGTAGCCCAGTCCTTTGAGAGATGGACATAATTCAATGATGCGGAGCCATGCTGGGATGATAAGGTAAGCCACAAAGAAAAGAAAGCAACTTATTTTGAGGGAAAAGCAACGGACACAGCAAAGGCAAGTCACCCACCCTCAGGCAGGACCCACAGATTGCCCTGGGATGGGCCTGGGTAGTGCCTGGTGTCCCTGGCCCCTGAATGCAGGCCCACACTCAGTGGGTCTTATTGAACACTCAGGATCCCATAGATGAGATGGTGCTGGCTGCCTCTTACTTTCTGACACATTTTCTCTGCATTCTGAATTACAAGGCTCCACCCACGCTCTCCCTTTCCCCTTCTAAACAGCTCAGTCTTCTCTGTGTTCTAAAAGACGTGACTCTGATGCCATCTTTCACGACCATCTGAGGATCCCTCAAGGACTCTTCCTGCATATACCTGCAAAGGGCTGAGTTGTGTCACTCAGATGTCTTTAATATTAAAAGTGAAATGACACATTCATTTCCATTCCTATCTCGGCTTCAGAAATGCTCCCTTTCGCAGAGTGAACAACAGTGGGAAAATATGGGGAGGAGGAAGAGGGACACTGGTGATTTCTGGAATAACTGTGGTGCTTGGAGGAAGGGAACAAATGAAGTTTCCTTTCTCTAATGTCTTTCTGAATGCATCTGCAGATAATTCTCATTCCTAGAGTTATTGTTTTAATTTTTTAAAGGAGCTTTCCTGGCAACACTTCTCTTAAAAAGCTCAGCTTTTGCTTGTTTATTACAAGAGTCAGAATAAATGATAATAGGATAAAGGGCTAGGCATGGAATTATTTTTAAATGATACCATCTTCCTTCCCCAGAGAACGACTCTAACAGAGGGAAACCTTTGCTGTGTTTTTCCAAAGGTGATCACATTTGGGTTTCTCTTGTCTCGACAGCAAGTGAACAGGAGCTAGTGAATAAAAACCTCAAGCCCAGGTTCTGGCTCTGCCAGCGTCCCCAGCAAAGCACTTTATGACCTTACAGCAAACTTGTTCTCTCTGAAAAATGGGGAAATTATGTATTCTCTCATGAGGTAGCTCAGAGACTCCTACAAGAGCAGACCTGGTGAGCTTGACCCAGCACCCTGGGCATGCCATGTGTTGAATAAATGGAGGCTGACATCAGGATTGCCCTCCCACACTCGAAATATCCATTAACCCGTTACATTATGGAAATGTCCAACCTTCCTTTGCTCCTCCCAGAAACTCTAATGGTTTGCTCATGGATCCCTCAAATGGTTCTGTTAAATTGAACTAGGTTTGGCCTAAAGCTGCCTCCATATCTGTATCTCACATTTGGCTAAAAGTCTCTCTATATGTAGTGAATTGTAGCCTAACTCCACATGGAAATGGGTGTAACCTAATCTTATAACAAGGAGCTGAATATCAGCCAGTCACAAGTGGCCTATTTTCCAGGCTAACTTCAAATAAGATAGACTCCTGCTGTAACCCAGCAAGCTGTCTCCATGCCTCGCCTCCCCTCCCCTCCCCTCCCTTTCCCTTCCCTTCCTGTATGTCACTTCCTTTTCGCTCTCTCTCTCTCTCTCTCTCTCTATATATATATATATATATTCTATTTACATAATGGGTCAAATATTAAACACCATTCTGGTCTGAGCCACTGCCCTATTCTAGAACTACAAATAAAGCAATTTGAGATTTCAAAATGCAGCTTATTGTAATTTTGTCTTTCCTTTTTTTTTTTTTTTCTTTTCTTTATGCCCAGCTGGATTCAAGCTCACTATGTAATTGAGGATGGCCCTGAACTTCAGATCCTCCTGCTTCCACCTCCCAAGCGCTGGTATTATAGGTGTGGACCACACACAGTTTATGAGATGCTGGGGATTGAACTCAGGGCTTCGTTTATGCTAAGCAAGAATTCTACCAACTAAGCTAAATCTCCAATCTATAATTTTGTCTTCTAATAGTACAAAAGTATGCTGTGAGAGTCACAGTATTTCTGCTCTGGAAAAAAATTATGTTTTTAAAACAGAGGCTCTTGGTTAAATCTGGAGCTTATCAGTTCAGCTAGACTAGTTGACCAGAAAGTATAAGTGAGAGACCACATGCATTAGAATATGGTTTCAGTTCTTCATAACAACTGCTGAATGCACCAGAATTCCAATAGGAGCAGTGTCTCTTTACTCTTAGCAAGGCTAAGGAAGAGATGTAGCTGCCTTATTAATGCAGTCCCAAGTAGGAGAGCTAGATCTGGATTTGCATTGATCTAGGGGTGCCTGAGCATAGGGAAGCCTCTCTCATCATGATGAAAAATCCTGGTGTGGAAAGTTTCAGGAAAGCGAGTTATGCTTACTTGATAACCAAAATGTTGCCTTAGGTCTGGGGCACCAAGCTTTTTGTTAATTACAAATCAGAATACTCTAGTCTGTAAACAGCACAAAGAAATTCTGCATGGATGCTGCTATAGGTATTTGGGCTGGAGATGTCCGGAAGAATTTTCCAACAGTATTCTTGGCCACCTGAGCTACCTGGGTCTTTTACTGTCTTACAATTCAGAGATGAGCAATCTAGAAACCCAGGCTTTTAGCCAACAACACTAAACATGAAAAAGACACCTCTCCCATGGTTGGAAACAGAAAATAGTGTGATACTCCTTGACCTGAGTGAATCCAACCTGATAAATAGCTATGTCTACAATAATGCAGGGCTGGATGGGGGACAATTTATTCCTTTGTTTCTAGACACCGCACAAGCAAGATTACTGTGTTAAAAGCCTCCTTTCTTATTTTGAAATATATTTTTGGGCCAAGAAAATGGAGTGTTGATTTCATTCGTAAACCATGTGAAGGCAGGTACTCCTCACCCCTCCATCTACTCCTCTGCTGAGCAGCCCTTTTTCTGTCTCTATTTAGAAGATCAATCTCTAGTATGAGACCTGCTGCTGATGGGTGCCCTTCGTGGGTTATTAACTAAGTCACAGGGAGCCATGGAAGGGCCTGAAATGCAGTCATGACCAGAGGCCTTTATCTTCCAGATAAATCCACTAAGAACCTCCCAGAGAGGGCTCTGGCCCGGGTTGGGGGTTGGGGTGTGGGGCTGCTAGCCTCATCTTTTGCGCCCATCTTGGAATCTGGCATTAGTAAGAAAGGATCCTCTAGGAACCAGGGGCTTTTATAGCTTCAGAAGCACCTAGTCAAAGGGAGAAAAAAAGGCAAATAAAGTGAGAATAAAAGAAAATAAACAGCTGGGGGGAAGGCACTGTCTAAGGGTTCCTATCTTAAAATTTTTATATTTCTCCTTTGACGTCCTCTGAGAGCCGTGAAGACACGTCAGTCAAACTGACAGCATGTTGGGAGAGGAGTATAGGGAGGAGGCAGGAGAGAGGGGCACATGTGGGAGGGGAAAAAAGGCTTGGGCCACAGAAAATGAATTAGAGTAGAGATGCTTTAGAAGCAACTGCCAGGTTAGATGGGTGTGATCAAAGGTTTACTGATGCTGTGTGGGGGAAAAAATCATTAAGAAAGGCCAGAACAAGACAGTCGATTCCAACCAGAGCCACAAATAAAACACATTCAAAGCAGTGCCATGGGGTAGGCTTTCTGTTACAGCCAGCGAGATGGGAAAAAAAAAAAAAAAGCCAATGAGAGGTGGAAACACCAAGATCAGAACAAAAGAAAATACTGATGTGAAGGAAGACCGTGCTTCTTACCCAATTCCGTTATCATTAGAATGTGCGTCCCACTGTTTTTTTCCTGATTGACTGATACCAAAGGCAACTTGCCCGGTTTAGCTAATTGGATACGGCATTTAAGGAAAGGGAGTGGAGGAAAGTACAGAAAAAAGAGAAGAGTGAGGGAACAACACAGGAAGCATCCTACAGCTAAGGGACCCAGGATCACAGGAAGTCTGGATTTGTCTCACGGGGGGCGGGGCACAGGGTAATTTTGTTACCTTCACTAGGGTATCACGGGATGCCATGAATAGGTTAGAATTCAGGTTGGATTCTATTGGCTAAATACGGCCTTCAAAACCTACCCTTTTCTTTTAGCCATTTACTAAAAATAGCCTTTGGCAGAGAAGTTCAACTAAGATAGAACCAATGTAGAGTTGTTACAAGGCAGAACAATGTACCACCTCGTTTTCACAATGGGATTGACTTAGACCTGAGGTTCTGTACATCAGTGGAGGGTTTTAAATTGTAGGAATCTTTCAGACAGAATGCTCAGAAGAGATGCTTCCAGGGGGAAAGATCCACACAGAATCCTTTCCTCCTTTATTCCCCCTTCCCAAAGGATGCACCAATTTCAAAGCCATTGTCTCATGCACCTTTGCAAAGAGCATGAAGGAAACTGTCTATTCATCTCACAGGAAAGATAGAGCAGTTTTTCCTTCAAGTAATCTGCCATTTCTCATCCATACCTCTCTCTACCCGCCCTCCAAATCCCACAGCAACCTATAAGGTCCAAAGGGCTAAGCAATAGGCTAACCTCCTCATATCCTCCACAGCCTGAAAGAGAGGACAAAATCAGACACCCCTTGAGCTGATAAAAACCACCTACCGAGTTCTGTGATGATGGGGATATTGACCCCAGTCGTGATGGATGGCTGCCGTAACATCCCGTGCACTGGGCTGTTGTCAGGAGAGGATCTGTCCATTCCTGGAGGTGTGAATCCTAGTGGGGAGGAAAAGAAGAGGGAGAAACTCAGAGGAGGAGGAAATCTGAAAACAGTCAAAGTACAGTATACACGTAGAACCCTAAACATACAGTATACATTATTGATAGTTCAGAAATTAGCACACCCAGGACAAACCCTGACCAGGTATTTAAAAAAGCTATTTATTTATTTTTATTTTATGTGTATGTGTGTATTGCCTGCATGTAGGTAAGTGCACCCGTGTCGTGCAATGCCCGTGGAGGTCAGAAGAGGCTGTTGGATCCCCTGGAACTGGAGTTACGGATAGTTGTTAGCTGCCATGTGGGTGCTGGGATGCGAACCTGGGTCTTCTGCAAGAACAACCAGTGTTCTTAACCGCTGAGCCATTTCTCCAGCCCCTGATCAGTTATTTTTAAGACAAAATAGGAAACCGTTTTAAGTGATTCTAACTTACTCTAGTAGCTCCCTAAAAGTCGAGACCACACCAAAATTTACCCCGTGTATGGATTTCCCCTCTTCTGGCACATAGCTATCACTATGCCTACTTAGCTTTAAGTAATAGAAAGTAGCATGTAACATATAAAATGCTGAGTCTACAGAAAGTAGACAGAGCACTAGACATCACTTCTGGTACAAGTGTTGGACTTGCTGTCTTTCTCTTCCCAGACCACATATGATATGGAGACATGGGCTACTATGGAGACAGAGGCTGGACAGCAGCCTCAGACAGCTGCCCTGACCCATACCTCATCCTTAGTGAAAAAGAAAATTGGGCTGTTTTAAACTACTGAGATTTCTGTTTGTTTGTTGTTCTCACAGGATAACTTAACTTGTTCTGACTGTTCTCTTAAACCAACTGATTGTGTATCCTTCTGCTAGTGGGTAGAGACCTCTTTATTTTCTGAACATTGTTTTATGTGCCTGTGATTCCTGGACCTGAGGCAGTCATCTTGCATCTAGGTCGAACACAGCCAGTTGAAGACAAAAGTAATTCACCAAAACTGGCTGAACCAAGTAACAGAACTGTCCTTGAATTCCTGAGGTAACCAATGTGACACTCCTAAGAAACCTCAGGGTTTCTGAAAAAGGTGAGATTTGAACTTCAAGTTAAGTAAGAGTGAGACACCCTCCCAGGCAAGCCCAGTGAGTACCTCATTTAGAATACATTCAGAGACCCATAAACATGGGAGACACGTGTGCACTGGGTGGAAATTCATTTTTCCAACTGAAGCACACGGCAGGCGGAGCTGTTGGCTCCATGCTGTCGACATTTGCTTTTCTACCTTAGATGACAGGCAGGTGTTTTCATTCCCTTTGGTTTCTCTCCATTGCCCTTGGTTGGTGAATTGCTATGTGGGTTTTTACCAATAAATTAGGGTTGTAGAAATACGAAGTCATTCACTAGGTCTCCAAGGACAAAACTCCAAACAGACCAGATTTCAGAGTCACTTCCCAGCAAGGGGATAAGATTGGGCCGATTCTGGCATTTGGGGTATGTGCAAATTAGGAAGGAAATGGCAGGTGCTCAATAATTGCCTGTCATTTTGGAGGTTCATAAGCATGAAATGCCAGAGACATATAAAAGGGCTTTCTTATTTTCTGCTCGGCTCTGTATAAATGTCCCATCAAATGCTGTACTTTCAGGGGGAAAAAAAAAGCATTTCTTAGTGCCCATTGCCTGATTGATTGCACTTACATTTATTTTCAATATTAATATGCCATGAACAAACTAGTTCATTTTCAATGACATTACAGTGTCCAGTCTTCCCAAACTCTGGGATGCTGTCTGTTTTTCACCCAACCGCCTAACCAGGAGCACGCATTTTAAACGTTAGCTGTTTTCTTCCCCTCCAAGAGTGAAGGGGAAAACTCAACCTTTTTCATCAGAAGTCTCATTCAAAGGCAAAAAATTGCAAGTGACAGCTGTGCAGATTCAGTGGATGTGACGTTTTTAAATTTCTTCAACTTGACAAGTAAACACCTTCCATCGGTAATGCTATATGCATAATACATGGCCTGTATTTTGACATCCATCATCAAATGCTGACTTGAGAAAATACGGGTTTATACGTCAAGGAGTGGCACCATAAAGCAAGCAGAGATGCAGGTCACATGGTATTAGAAGAACTGTATTTCATTACGGAGCCTGCAACAAGCCAACGCTTCCTTTTATTTGGTCTTATTTAAGGATTCCATCTTCAGCTGTGGAAAGCCTCAATCCCTTCGTATGAAACCTTCATTTAGAAATGACATGCTTGCTTCCTAAGCCTCTTTTATTTTGCTTTCATATTCCATTTTCCCCTTCAGTCACCAAGCCTGGTTCCATTAGCGTCTGCAACTGACAAACTGTGGTGGATAGCCAAAGACACCCCTCCACTGAGGGCCTGTCCCTCCTCCATCTGGGACCCCCCCCCCCCGCCCAGGCAGAATGTCATTGTTGGCAAAAGAACTTCAGACATATCGGCCGCCTCTTATTTTGTGACTTTTCTATTCTCACTTTTAAAAAGGCAGTATCGGTCCTGGAGCTCAGTGGTTAAAAGCACTGGCTACTCTTGGAGAGGACTGGGATTTGAATCCCGGCACCCACCTGGTGGCTAACAATCATCTGTAACTGCAGTTCCAGGGGATCTGATGCTCTCTTCTGACATCTGCGGGCATTGCATGACAGGGGTGCACTTACATACATGCAGGCATAACACTCATACACATAAACATAATAAAATATTTTAAAAGGCAATATTAACCAAAAAACTACAGATCTTCTCTATTCCTCTCATAGAGTAGTATTAAAGATGATTGGACTTGTGTTTTCTCTCTCATAAGGTGCTAAAACAGGGAAACAAACGGTGGTTTGAAGAGTCAAGCTGATCCAGATTCCCTAAATGACCTTCAAGAGAGGAGAAATCCAAGCGTCTTCCCTCAGAAGAAATGAGGCAATGTGACCTTGGATGCTGTTGTTGCGGTCACGGTTGACTGAAGGGTGGTCTCAACTGTGTTCAGGCCTCTCCTTCTTTGCTGTGGCTTCTCTTTGAATCTTTGTGTGAAACAGCACTGCTATCTGCTCGTGCAGGTTCTGACAGGCAGCATATACTCCAGGAACCTGCAGCCAGGGACCAGGGAAGCTGGGAAAGGCTCCTCACAGTACTCTAATGCCCAGAAAAACCAGTTTTAGAAACAACCCTTTATTTGTGCAAAAGAGATAATTAAGGACACCATCACTGGGGAGATGTAGTAAAAAGTCCTCGCTCAGAAAAGACTCAAGTTGAATTCATCTGCTGCCCAAGCACTCTCTGAGATGGGCTCTTGACTCTTCAGTGTGATACCTCGTTCTCTATCAAGCTAGAGATGACTTCCTTAGACCACCTCCTGTCCTTCAGAGGAGCCCCTCCCCATTTCATCTCCAGTAGAAGGTGCAACAGGCCTGCTTCCCCTGTATTATCTATCCATCGGGCACCAAACACAAACATCATGATCGACACCATCTCAGGCCAAGCATTCTGAGTTCACTGGCACTGGAAGAACTTTAGGCCAGACAGTACACTTCCTGTTTATTTGAATTTCCAGACTGTTTACAACATGACTGACTTGGAGAAATTCTAGGTTCTTTCCTCCACCTCCTTTTCGGTGTAAGCGTATTTCTTTTTTTCTTTTTGTTTTTGTTGCTGTTGTTTTTTGAGACAGGGTCTCCCTGTAGCCCCAGCTGGCCTGGATCTCACTATGTAGACCAGGCTGACCTCAATGCCACAGAGCCTCTGCCTCCTAAGTACTGGTATTAAAGGTCTGCTCCACCACACCTGACCCAATATTTTTATTGACTAATTTTGTAATTTGACAATGTCATACACTTATATAATGTAGTCTTATTACTCTCCCCCATTCCTCTCAACCCTCCCATCCTTACAAGTCCCTTTGCCAGATTCATGACTTTTGGCTTTGTTTTGTGACCCATTTAGTTAAACCATGGCCATCTATGTGACCACTGGGTTGGAACTATCTTTTGGAGCCTGATGGGGCCATCAACAGGTAGACAACTGAAGGCAACGGTCCTCCTCCCACTGCTCACTGACTCTATTAATGGCAGAGAGCTCAGCATGAGGAGTAGGACTCTCTATGTCGCTTGTGCATCCTTGCCTGAGTGTTGACAGACTCATTCTTATGCAGACTACTACAGGCATCCACAGCTACTCTGAGTTTGTGATTGGAATGGCTGTGTCTGGTCCAGAAGATGCTATTTCATAGCCCTTCTCCTTATTTTCAGGTTCTTACATTCTTTCTATCCCTATTCCACAGTGTTCCCAGAGCCTTAAAGAGGATGGTACAAATGACTTAGCTGTGTAATTATAAGTATAGCACAGTCAAAGTTTTCTACAATCTGCTGCTGCTTCACCTGTAAAACAGACGTGTATTATGTAGGGAAGACGTAGGGCTAAAACAATATGTACAATGCCAAGTCTGAAGTAAGTGCTCAAAAATACTGGCTGCAAATGCCAGTAACAGCAAAAACTTGTGGAAAGGTCCAGAACCCATCAAGAACCTTTCCTATGAAGGAAAAAAAATTGTTACAGTTCTTTAAAAAGAATTTTCACAAAGAATGTCATAGAAACTTAAAGGAAGGCAAGGAACATTATGGATATTTGTTAGAAATAGATCAGTCCTGAAATTTAAAAAAATCCAGTCCAAAGCATCAAAAGAAGGAATCTAGATATGGGGAATGCTGGGTTTTCTTTAGGTTTATAGAAAACTGGCGGTCAGCTTTCACACAGGAAAGGCTCTTAATTTGGAATAGCAACTACAGACTCTTTCTGGAATCTTCTAGTTTCTAGATCTAGTCTCTTGCTTCCTTTATTTAAAAGTCTAAACTTTTATCTTTTGCTGCTTGGGTTCCTGAAATGACTCTCACTACTCTGTGTTCTTTTCTGGCATCTGTGCTCTGGCCACATGTGCTCCTATGGGGCTGAATTGAACGGTATCATCAGTATTGGATCTTCTTTTCACAATATTGGTTGTTTCAGAGGCT